ATATCCCACCCACTGACAGGAGCTATAATAACCAGATAATCAGTCTTATTCACTTTACCTGTCAGTGGTTATATTGTTATCGCTGACTGGTGTATGAGAGTGGTGTGGATCATCCAATCTAACTCTCTGAAAGAGGCAAATAATAGCATTTTTCAAGCATGTTGAATTGCTCAATGGGTTCTATGGATTACCAATCTATAACACACTTTGGTAGGATTCTGATGCTTGTATCAGGGAGAATGAGTACTGGGCTGACATCACTTTTAAACTATAAAAAATATTCTGTAATCCACCGCTTGCCTATTCGCCATAAGAAGTGAATAGAGACATCATGCGAGACAACTGATCCTGCTGCAAAACTACAGAACTGCTCATCTTCCTTCCCTAAACCTAAATGTTGTATTAACCACAAAAGTCAAGACATCTGGGACTTGTCATTGTGTCAACTTACAAGTGAGACATTGTTGTGTCACACCAGGAAGTCCTGACATCTAAAAGCATTTTAAAGGACCTAATTCCTCAAACTGCAGCAGTAGTGAAGTGGGAACCCTTGATTCACTGACTAACATGAAAATAAAAAGGTAAGAAACCTCCTTTGTCTTTTGCTTCAAGCATTCATGCCTCTTCAGTTTAATATAAAGGTCACAGATGTTTCCTGTATTCTCATATGCCTTTTTCCATGTTCAACTGATGGCTGTTTATAAGCGATTGGATAAGTGTGTTATGCTTGAGCATGTAACATTTCCATATCCAAACAACTGCCAACACATCAGCTGTGTGTCTAAGCAACACATGCATGCTAATAATTTGTAGAGAACTGGCTTGCTGTGGTTTTCACAGATCAGGGTAATTTAATTTTACAGAACAGAAGTCAGTGGAGCTGATTTTGCTGTAGACACATTTATGTATTTATATGACGTATTTACTCATTAGTGCACAGTGTTTCAACTTGGATATGGCATTATTGACATTTATAGTGCATCAAGGCATTGTTGTTTGGTCAGAGAAACGTCAATGGATGCAACAAATCAGTGTTCTGCCTGTTTAGGGGAAGCATGAGCAGGAAACAGTCAACAGTATAGTCTGCTGAGTCATGTGTAAGTGCAGCTATGAGTCTGCTAATTGGCTATACCTTAATTTCTTGGCTCAGATATTGTAGATAGTTTTGAAGCTTTTTGACATCTCTAGGCTTCAAGATATACATGACATTCATCTATTGAATGTCCTATCAATAAATATGTGTATTCTCACTTATGAAATGACTTTTGTAGTCAATTTTTTTTCACAATCTCTTGTTAACAGCAGTTAACCCACTTAGAAAGACACACACTAAATGGTACCAAAAGGGATGTATCTGAAATTTAAGGTTTCAAATTTGACTTTATTGGCCTCGTCATGGATCATGGCCATGACCAATGGACATTTCGTGGATATATCTAAGCATTTTAAACTTTTTGCATGCCATTTAACATGCATTTTAGTTTTGGAAAGAATGAAGTCAGGTGGCCTTTGTCAGGTGATCTTTGTAGACAGGGTAACAATAGTCAGGTGATGATGTGACGGGGTCGCAGTTTGGTTAGGTTTAGGCAACAAAACCGCTTGTCCTCATGTTTGGGTTAAAATAAGTACTTTACTTATAGGTCCAATATGCAACATTTAGGGGGATCTATTGGCAGAAATGCAATAAAATATTTATAGGTATCTTTTCATTAGTGTATAATAACCTGAATGTAAAAACTGTTGTGTTATTGTTTCCTTAGAATGAGCCGTTTATATAAAAAAAATCATTATATCATTACATCAGACGTGGAGTCTGCCATATTGAACTGACATGTTTTTACAGTAGCCCATAACGGATAAACCAAAAACTGTCTCTAGATAGGGCCGTTCGTGATTTTCGTGCGTTTCATGGCCACCATAGATTCTGCTTTGTGCTTGAAAGGGGAAGGTGATGCAAGGGAGTTGCAATCTACCACTAGACCACTAGATGGCACAAATTCCTATAGTATATAATAGTAATATAGTAAATAGTAATAATAACCATTTGGTGGCACTAGTTATGAACAATACCCGAAAAAAAAACTATTCCTGTGAATAGTTAAATTATTCTTGGGTACAAAAAAAAAGATCATTAGTCCTAAAGCATTGCCATTGGTGATGTTGAAGCGATAGCTGCAGACCGGGGAAAGATTTGACATGCCAGCCTAATTAGTGCGATTATCACACAGCTGCACAGGCTGAAAGGATTTGAAGTGGTTTTATCAAAAGGATCATTTTCCCGGGGAATGCCTCATCCTGACAGCATGTGCACTGCCAGATGCATTTCGGTTTGGGATGTGCATGCGCTGTCCGCTCAGATAGGCTGCAGATTTGAAAGGGTGAACTCAGAGTGGACAGGAGGAGCGTAGTGGAAGCACAGCACTGAGTCCTTGCTCAGCGTATTATTGCACATGAGTAAAGCTGTAGAGTGATTAGATGCATTGTCTCTTACCTCACAACAGACCAGTTATTGGAAGTCTGGTGGCACATAATCACACCAGCTTGTCCCCAATTCATACTCTTAGCTGGCAGAGAATGGAGGATAAACCAAATTTAGGCCTAATAATCTTACCAAACAGGTTTGGCCACCGATGAGGGGCCAATTAACAGAATTAACAATTGATGGAATTCCCTTAGTTCAGCTATGGATTTGCCTTTTCTCCATAATAAAATAGGGGTAATATGGATTTAAGAAAACCATATTGTGACTTAAAGAGTGTCTGGTTAATATCTCTGTATGCAACAATGGATCACATGACTATGTGTGAAAGGGGTCGCACATAGTGATGAATTCACAAAGAATTATCACCCAACTTTACAATTCCCCTCAGCACAATGGAGAGTTTCATCTCATTGCTCCACTGCTTTAATGTTTTGGTTCAGTCTCACCAATCGCTTTCAGACGCAGGAGGCATTTTCAGTGGAAAAAGTGCAAAAACCCACTGTACAATACCTACTGAGCAGGAGCTGGCAAACACAGTGGATCTTAGAAAAAGACACATTTTCTACAGCAATACTTTTAATATTATTAACATATTCAATCAGAGCAGTTCAAATCTCTAACATGTAATAGACAGCAGAACCCTTCTTTCATATTGCATAACCTCCCTGAAATAAATGCATCTTTCACCCTCATTCAAAGAACAATAACATATTCTCAGTAAAAGAATCTCTGGCTTCCCACTCACTCAATCATCATATTGTACTCCACTACAATACCTCATATTGCTCACTCACTCAGGATGGCTCAGAAAAATACCACTGGCCATGCGTATACACACCAGCATGTTATTTAGCCTGGTCTGCTTAACTACTCCCTCCTCTCTTTGCCCTTGGGTGGGCTGGGGTCCTCAGTGATCCCCCGGATCCGACTGGCCTCTACAAGCGCCTCCACAGTTCCCACCCTCTACCGGCCGTGACGTCACAGGTCCGGCTCCGAGAGCAGCCGGTCTTTGCCCATCGCCAGGGTCAAGAACGCAGGGAGGACGGAGAGAGGAGGACCAGGGACCTTCTGCACCACGGCACCCAACACACCTCCACTGTCCATGTCACGCCTCCCCGTCGTGGGCCTACTGTGAGCCACCCGCCAATGGAAGTTCTCAAGGTAAGCCCATCAACCCACTGGTCTACCTGTATGAGCTGCAGCCGGGATGTGAAGGGTGACAACGTTTTGTAGGCGAAGTGGTGGTGGATACTTGCTTGCGGATCCTTGATTCCATCTATTCCAAACTGGATTATATGTTTTACATTTCTTTAAATCACAAATTCAACATGATTATGGGCTAAGGCATCAGAAATTCTTACGTCTGTGTCAACTCCTGAGACACTGTGTTAAGTCCGAAGGGGGGATTATCTCTGGACAGAATTCCTGTTTCCAGACATTTGGCATTCAACACATTTAATCCTATTTTCTCCACTACACTGACATGTTTTCATTCATTTTATTCCTGGTACGACCAAATGGACCCTATAAACGTGAAACTATAAAGATGGGAGAGAAAGAACACTGAACATATCCTGGAAATAACTAGGTTTAAAAATTCTCCCATATCAATATTACATACTAAAATATTACATCGATGTGATTTGACTCCATTGAATCATTGCAGTTTGATGCTGTTTACAGTAAGATGAGAACCAGGTATCAGTTTTCACCCCCTCAGGAATTTCAAAGTATTTAAGTTTGTCAAGTGTAGAGAGGAAATTCCCAACTGTCAGACTCTTGATACATAATTGTCTGTGTTGGGTTTATTGATTTTCTGTGCTTGTGATATTATAAAGTCCAATATGTTCTGCATTATAAGTGTGACGTTTCTGTCACTGGATGATAGAGACATTCTTTTAAGGTCATGAATGATATCAGTGGTCGATTTGTGCAAAGTGGGTTTGACGTAGTGTGTTTATTGATAGCAGAGTAACATAATCCTTTAGCACTATACCACTTCAAGTCGTCTCAGCATGAAAATCAAATCCTGCCAGTGTTACTTGGCATGTATTACTATTATACAATTAAACAATTTAGAGGAACTTTTTTCTCATACTGTATCATTTTCATAGTCCAGACAACTATCTGAGTTTCCTGGGCAAACACTCTTTGACAGATTGAACCTAACCTGTCTGTGGATTATCAAAGACCCCCACAAAGCTATGCAGACAAGGCAAAATTAGCTTAGAAGTACCAGGCAGAGCTGCTGGACCATGAAAGTGAAAACATAAAGCTCAGATGAGGTTGCCCAAAAGGGGAGGGGAACCCTTAATTAGCCAGGTTACCTCTGACCCTTGTGAGAATGAAGTGAAAAACCAGTTCAGAGATCAAGACAAAGGCAAGCAGAGTTTTATCACATACTCAACTCTTAAGTCAGTAGCAAATGTTCATAAGGTTGAATCTTGAGCTCACTTAAGAAAAACTACTGTAACATACTAACAATGACTTACATGATTTTCAAAAACCTTAACCAGGACCCTTGGGTGTACCACACATTTGTGCATACACAAATGTATGTGCTTATGCATGCCAATGGACCATGCAGGCATTTTCATCAGAATGGGGGACAATTATTTCAGCGCCTAGCACACCTACTGAGCCATGGATGCCATGAACGCAGCATTGTTGCTGGGTACTTTACGAAGCGGTGAGCTTTCTGGAGCTCTTAAGAAAAGACAGACATTCTCTTCAGCATGACAGCTAACAGTTAGCATACTGACAAGTTTTAGCCTATGACGGTTGCCTATGACTCATCGATTAGCAACAACCTTGACAAAGACACACTGATTCATGTACAGATGCTTTCTCGCTACATCATATTCATGTTCTGTGTGAAAGTACTAATGATAAAAACAGTTTATATATATATCTTATATATATCACATTAAATACCCCCCTCTCCCAAAAAAGTGTAAATATAAATTTGATATCAGTAAAAATGTTGTGCTCTTACATGATTGCATATATTTAAATATTAATATTTATTTGAATTAAATGTTGCTTCCCAACCCACGTTCTAATTTCCAGGTGCTATCCTGTGTTCTCTTGTGCTGTCACCTTGGATCACATCTTAAAATCTGCTCAGTTTCAGATATTTCAATATAAACATTGCTCTTCCCAAACACTACAAGCTGCACTATTTGCTATTAGCTACAGGATTCAGTATTTTCATATTAACAATGGTGAAAATGATTGAAATTTGAAAAGGGTCAGTGATCATCTGACTGCAGTCCCCCTTAACAACTTTACTGTACTGGTTCACTCTCACCACTATAAACAGCACCGTTTTCAGAAGTTGTTTCCATATAAAAAGTTCTAAAACCCACTGTACGTTACCTGGCTACCGTCAAACAGCAGAAAGACACAGTTACACCCTGTTCACACTGCCTACCTGGGAAGTGCGTGGCGGCTGCCTCACTGAACTGTTGTGGCTCGCACGCCTAAGGTAACCTCTCTGAGAGAGTTTCTGCTGCTGGCTTTCTTTCTATACTGAGTTTGCCTTTGATAAATACAGTACAATAAAAGCCTTGTTAATATAGGAATGGATTCTGTCCTCAGAAACATGGCTCATGGAAAAAATAGGCGAGACCTTGACTCTGTAGTGAAGTGTCGCTGCAGCCTCAGCTGAGTTGCACGACTCACGCGGGCAGTGTGGCTGCTCTGAACTGTTAACATGGCTGCCGAAATAAAGAACAAGACATTCTGCTACGCACACACGCTGCAGACGCAGGCAGTGTGAACTGGGTCTTATGTTCTCACTACAACCAAGACACCAGAGATGTGGGATGAATGTTAGCTAAACTTTACTGACCTCCAACCGATCACTGTCAACATGGTGCATCTGGCCGAGTAATCTCATTATCATGATATCCCCTTCTTTGAAAAAAGACACAAAACAAATGTAAACAATAGCACATCCTTTTCCTTTTACTTTTTAGGGGACTTTTTAAACCACAAAATAAAAAATAAAAAGTTTCTTTATGTTTTGTAACCTTTTCACAAACATCTCTATGTCTTGGACTCCAGGGTTTAGTGACTAGCTGGTGAATTTAGAACTAACTTGAACATTTAGCATCCATAGAGCCAGATATTTGACTTGAAATATTATGAAATTATCTGAATGCCAGTGTTACCCAGTGTATATAAACTTTATCAGGTGACAATATGTCATTGTTTACAGCTTATTGTGCTGCTGCCCGTTCTTATCCCCCATCCATTCTGATTGACATAACTTTTCTAGGATGTCTAGATCTATGATTACTGTCATCTGACTCCACCCAAATGTACTAACGTATTTGACTGTAAGCCAATCACAGTGATACACATCGTCTAAAGTGGACTGTAGAGCCAAACCTGCTTTTTCAGCGAGCATGAACAACAACAAGAACAACAAAACATTGTCTCCATATATAAAATAACAATACTACTAGTAATTGTAGTGTGTATGACTATTTTGAATATATAAACATTTAAAATTAAGAATGTTTAAAAGAAAAAAGATACAATAAAAAATAAAGGGCGCAAATGGGAAGAGGGGATTAGTCAGGGGGCAAGGTTTTTAAGTAGCTGAAGTAATTTATGAAAGAATTCCATTTATGAAGAAATTGAGAGCTGCCTTTCACTGAGAATCTTATCTTGTCTAACTTAAGAAGGGACATTACATCCCTAAGCCACAGAGAAAAAGATAGAGCCTCAGGAGATTTCCATACACGTAAAATATGGCGGCTTGCCTAAACAGAGGTAAAGGCTTATATGTCTTACTGTGAAGAATTCATTTGGGAAGAACAGAGACCACAAATATCACTATAGAGGGGCACATTTCAGATAAGATAGGATAGACTTTATTGATCCCACACTGTGGAAATTCACTCTCTGCAGCAGCTCCAGCTATAGCACAACAGATAAGAAAATACACATTAAATAAAAAAATAAAATAGAAAAATACAAGATATAATAAAATGAGAAAAAATAGAATAAGAGTTATATGTATAGTACATCTGTTTTATATACAGATGTGATTGATATGGTACAAAGTAGGTAGTGGCATGGTGTAAAAATAAATAATAAATACAGTAGTATAGATTAGTGGAAATATAGGCTATATACACAGGGTTACGAAGATATCGTATAGATCTAATATTAATAATGTCTGTGTAAAAAATGATATATATATAAATATATTTATTATACATCTGTCATATCCAGCCTGGCTGAACAAGGTGTACCTGAGAGTATTCCTCCAACCACTGATCTGTAAAATCTACCCCCAGCTCCTTCTCCCAAGCAACTCTAGTTTTTGGCAACACAATGACCATCAAAAGACATGAGTTGCTCATATAAGTTGGATATGAATGATTTCTGATTTTGGGATCCCATGGCTGGTTAGTGGGGAGGGAACGGTTGCATAGAAAGAGGACGGGAAGCACAGTGATGAACTGATTTCAGTGACATTCTTTACTGTTTTTATGGGCACGTTTGTAACACAGCACATGTACAGTAGTTAAGTAAAGCTGACAGACACCTTTGATTATCACAGTTATACAACAGATGACAGATAATGAATGTGTAGCTGCATATGTAACATCCTGTGGGAATGAGAGAGCTAGTGTCTTTCTGTATTATTTGTGTTTCTTATTATGTGCATACAGTATTTATTAGATAAAGATTAGAGAAAAATTAAGAGGCAAGTCTTCTGACTCTCAAAACTATGATCAAAGACAGTCAGTATTATTTGATGGCCCAGAAGAGTCCTGACTTTTAAAAATCATCAGATTCAACTCCACGTGCAGACCTCCGTGGTTTACACTGACCTTTTCCTCAAACTCCAGGCACATTGAGCTGAATAATGCTACATCTTTGTGCGGATTCAGAGGTCTCAAACTTAGCTCAAGCTGAGCTAAGAGAGCCTTTTGTTTATTAAACTCATCAGAGTATACCTAGTCCTCTGTTCTCAATTTCTAGTAGCCAATAGATTCTTTAAGATAAGGTTTTCAAAAAGTAGGACATGTCTGCACAAGTTTCAAAATTCACCACAAGAAGTTTGTGTGTTGGTTTTCTTGATGTAAAATGTGCGTATTTTAATTGTTGATACTACACTTCATCTGTAAAATATGATAGTG